GTACTTTTTTCTAGTATTCTATCATACTCTTTCTATCTGAATATTAACATCAATGCCTATCAGTAATCTAGGAAAGAGCTTACACATATTTTTGCATTAATGCCCGGAACAGATTAAAATCTTATTCAAATTTTAGATAAAACTGTAGCTAGCTGATTTAAGAGACGAGGTAGCATCAGGCAAATAGCTAAAAATCTATGACCTGTAATACATAGTTACGTACTAGGAAAAGTGATTTTTAACACTCTTATTTAAATTAGAGTTTAAGGGCCAATTTGATTCAATAAGGTCAGAAATTGAGTTTATCGACAATTTTAGCAGCAAATGGATTCAATAAAATATCCTGAAAAAGCTCCATCGTTTGTATGTACTCTCTGTCAAGTACGATTAACGATATATTAATATATTAGAGGTTAAAGTGTTACGCCTTTATTCCTTGATGGCACTTTAAACCTATATGTCAATTTGTACTACTTACTCGTGCGATACACTTTTATTTAATTATTCAGTTCCTTAAAAATATCACCACCTGAAGTATTCTCAGCTTCGGTTTACTATAATTGTAAGAAAATGAATGTCGTAATGTATTATGCTTAAATCTTTTAAAGGTCGTTTGCTTTCTTTTTGATTCCTTTCAGAATAAATTTTACTTATGATTTATCCAAGCCAAAATTCGCATATTTTAATTAAAATCAATATCTAACCATTCCCAAGCACTTTAAATCGTTTGTTTGATTGCTTTTCGTTCCATGAAATGATTGTATCAGAAACTTAAATTTATAAGCTAAATTAGCAGTGACTTCTTCCAAGCGGCATCCACCGAGAATGTTGAATTCTCTCTCTTTTCTGAATGCTTGTTATTTGACTTTGTACAGTTTCGCGTAAACGCCTTCAAATTGGATATTATTGTTCGTTAAAGAGAATAAGACTTAAGCATGATTGATACCCAGCCATGATTTACAGATTCAACAATCTATAATGTGTAATACAATGTTGCTTCTACGTTAACCACGCTATAACACAATTTATTTACTATTTATCGAAATCGAAATTGGATCACGGTATTTTATCTCTAGAATAAATCAGAAATATAGAATAATTTATAATTATATGCTGTAACAAATAGTAAGCTGGAGCGAAGTATTGAGATATATGAATTAGGTTCCAATTTGAAATACAGTATTTATTTGTTATTACTTGGGCTACTTTGGCATTAATTACTAAATAGCTGATGCGAAGTGCAGATAGATGCGGCAAATTTTAATTTTACTAATAAAATGTCTAGTTCGGGATATTTTGCTTAACTGTACTACTATTATTCTGTAACTTTTAATACCGGTTAATCATTAACTGTCTACTTATAAAGTCAAAGTCGTAGCTTAACCTTTTAGTTGTTAATTGCCTTACGATAACTGATTCTACAGAATTTGAAAGTAAACAAGTAAACTATACAGATGTAGCGTGTACAAGCAATCTGATGTATAAAAATCTGGTTTTATTTTTCGAACTTTTCTTCTAAAATTAGGTAACTTTAATTATCAATAACTCTGCTTTGTAATATAGATTTTGTTGATGGTACTATATTGTTATACTGCATTTCCATTATTGCATTTCCTGAGAAATATTGCATGTCTAATACATCAATTTATAGGCAAGTCTAGACAAATTTTGAATGGGCTTTCTATATAACGAGATAGATCTATCTTCATTGTCACTATCCTTCTGTTTTTAAAGAAAATGAGTTAAGTATTGAACCGTAAGTAATAATATAATAAAAATAAAAACCTGATGTATTAGTATAACAAGAAGAAAACTTTGAATTAAGTTGATAACTGAAACAACACCTGTTCCCAGGGATTAAAAAAAATGTTTCCTTTAGCTGTAAGTTCGCTTTCTTTATTTGACCAATTCTTAATTTTAAGCTATCTCACCATCTATAGATATAAATTTCACGACCTAGATTGTGACATAAGGTAATTATAATTATCCTTCTATTTCGTTGATCTAGCAAACCTACAATATAGCTTGCTATGAATTAGAGTTTCCTTCTAATGATTGTTTCTGCACTGATTTATTGGTACTAATCTGCCTTTTATCTTACAGACAATTTCCCCTTCACTTTAAACAATTTAACTTATTGTTATAGCTTTATTTAATATCACTGCAATAGTTCATTACTTGACTTGGTTTTATTGATGAATAATCCCTAATATAAAGATTATCGTAAATTAATGAATGAATAGATTAACATTTCTGTAACAACAACAGCTCAATAACATCGCTAAAAATCTCCTAATCGACGCGATGGTTTAAATTGTTTTATGGCATGTCTCTGTAAGATTAAATATTTCAACTATGTTACAGATATGGTATCATACTCCGTGTTAAATAACTCCAAATTAGCAAAGCTGCTATTGACTGGAAGACAACTTGCATTTTATGAGTATACCGTACACAATAGCATTTATCTTATACATTCTTTATTTAATGACTATTGGGTAATATTCGACGTTACTGATAATCATTTTTGGCAATGCGTAGGAGAAATGCAATAAATTTACTCCGTAAAGTTTCCTAAACTAAAATTATAGTATCTTAGCTACGTGGAAGAAGAGATTGAATAATATATTATGTAACTCGGGATGTACTTTGACGGAAGTATGCACACAAATAATTTCTTTTTCACTTTTTTGTTTTGTAAGGAAATCAATCATTAAATTAACTTTCCCAGCGTTAAATTGAAGAGCAAACGCTACAAACTCAAGCCGCGGCCATTTTTTTCTATTTCCTATTCCTTTGATACCCAAGCGCAATTCTGTTCTGCATTAACATTATCGTGCCATTTACCATAACATTCCTGTAACACTTATAACATTTTAATATTATGAAAATCCATGCATGGTAAGTTACATCAAAACAGATGATTACTTAGAGTTGAGCTATGAGTGTCTAGAGATTCTAATCTTTTATCTTGTGTTAAAATTATCGAACAATTTACTGTAACATTCCCATATAACTTACGAGTATAGCATTTCAACGTTATAGAAGTCTATGCATAGTATGCTAACATACACCATCACTAATAAATATTAGAGTTGAGTTATAAGTGTCTGAAAATATTAATACTCAAACAATTAATTATCAAACCAAATAGTCTTACAGTCACGACTGCATGCTCATCAGAAATTATTTTCATTTCTATAAAACGGTATGTTAGATAAAATTTGAGTTCTATAGTTGCTTAGTCTCTGTCAACTCTTACGTAAAAGAATAATCAAATTATAAATAGACAGATTCCACTGCCAATGATCGGATTATTAAGCGCTATAACAAATTATATTTGTTATAAATTTAATATTTGTGACATTTATTTTATGGTAGATTATTTGTTATATTTTAAGAGCAAATAACTGATAACAAATGCATATATACGCTATTTAAGTAGGTTATATTGTAATTGCTAAAATACGAATAAATGCCCTATTTATAGATTTACGATGATCTGATCAATAGCCTCTATAATGCTATTGTACTTTCAGTCATGCTTCTTATTTAACAGATGCAATTCTAAGACTCATTTAGGTTCTATTTTCGTCCTTATTGTACGATTATGAGAACAAATGAAATTATTTTATTTCGCAGTTTATGGGTAGAGGTATATATTAGTTCCTAAAGGTAATTATCAATAAAGCCTGTAATTAGTGATAAGAATGAAATGGGCATTTTTTAGGGTTAGTTGATGATATAAACCTACTCGTATTTAACCTACCCTATTAGTATTCCTGATATTAATTTAAGTACTAGCATAATATAAACTGTATATGCTTGTGTACTTTCATATGTTATATGTATATTGGCTTAGAATAGGATTGTGCAAGTAAAGTAAATTACTCTTGCTGAACTAGACCATCAGAAGAAAGCTCAAAATTACGAAAGTAATATACGGAATATGTATATTCAAACAGATTCTGGAGAATACACAGTTTATAGAGCCTGCAGTGATATTGAACAATGCATTGAAATTTTCTAATACACGTACATTATTCATTGCAATAAAGTTGTGAAAGGGTAAGATTTCAAATGAATGTTCTTAATATGAAAGTAATATCGTTGTAATCTATAAATAAAGCCTTAAAATCATTATTTTTGCTAAGTACAGTCTTCTCTATTCGATACGACAAGATTCGTTACTTGGTGGCACTAGCTGTATATGATTATCTTCTGTTCATTAAGTATCTGGTTAGTGCAAGAGACTTTCACTTAAATAAAAAATCATGGCTACACAGCTCTCCATAGTCATCATGCTTAGTATGCTGGCGTTTGCAATGCCAGCGGTAAGTACACAGAAGATTGTATTTTAAACTTTATTTATTTTGATATATTTAGTGGATTGAAATTATTGTGAATAGTTCAAAGTGTACAAACGCTAATTCATTGAGGAAATTGCTATTATGCTTTAATTAGGCTATCAAGCCAAAATCCTGTTTACAAGAGAAATTAGTATCGGGAACTCTGCAAAATGGTTACTTTATCTTATATGATAAAAATAATCAGCCCTATACCACATTTTGCGATTTTCATTCTGATCCTGGATTTGTTTGGACACTTGTTGAGTCACTTTCATTAACTAATTCTAGAAAGGCTAAATATCGTAAAAGCTTCGATTATAATGCTCCGACGCCAAGTTGTACTCGTATAAATTGGCAAGAATATCGATTAAGTACTGCAACAATGAAATCGATTAAAAATGCTCGAGGATCGACTCATTATCGAGCGACTTGTAATTTTAATCCAGATGATATTAAAGGAATCCGTAATCATCGAGACTATCTTCGAGTTTCATCTTGCAACTATCAATGGTTCTTCAAAAGTTCAAAAGCTTACCATTGCACTAAAGTGGATTACGTTAACATTCGTGGTCATACCTGTAGACAGTGTAGTATACCGATATGGGATGGTGGAAATAGTTTTCATCTATTGATACACGTTAATTACGCAGCAGGTAAATGTGATAAATGGGTAGTTCCAGGCTTAAATGGACATGAATATGCATTTGGTGATTATTTATTTAAGAATCCGAATTTTTCATGTTCGAAGTCGTCTACTTCTACAACGAATTGGTGGATAGGAGGTTCATATATAGCATAACATGCAAATTAATGTATTAATGAATTAATCCTTGAAGTGAAAAACGGTCTGGTAAAAGTTAAATTTAGAATTGTCCTTTTTAGATTTTGTATTTGTTACGAGCTAGGAATAGCCCTAACTTGCAACAAGCATTGAGAGTAATTTCTACCCTTTACAACTGTTATGTGTAATACCAGACAATTGGTATTCCAGACAGATAGGGTTTAACGTAGGGAGACCTTCAAGACTCACTAGAAAACCACAATCTAATTTATTGTCGGCGAACTCACGGTTTATATAGGTTTCGGACCTAAAACCGGTTTTGCTACGCAAGTCACTTCATCTATTAGAAATTAACCAAATTAATACCCTAAAGAGATTCCATCTGTACGGATTAGATACAGTCTAATTCTATTAATTTACTGCAATAGTATTAAAATAATCAATGCTTATTAATAGTTTAACAGATACGTATAAAGCTATCCTCTTAAAAACATTTCTTCTAAACTTAAGGATTACTAGTGCAAACTCCCGTCGCTTTGCTGAAGGTTTACGATAATGTGCTCATTTAACAGATAGTATATTACCATTTGTCGTAGACCTGTCAGAGGTTCAGTAGCTTTATACCGTATACAATCTTAAATCAAGGATATCAACTGTTAACCACTAGAATAACAATTATGGAGACCGTAAAAACATTTCTGAGATATAAACACATATAGAACGTATGTCACGGTACGCCGTTACTAATTAAGTAACTGCAAATTAATGAAAGCTTATGAATAGATAAGATAAGGTTATGTGCTATGTTTTAATGCGCTTGTAGCTGATAATAGGATGGTAGAAATGAGATAAAAATGGAAGTTGTTAGCAGTTAATTTACTGTAGGTTTATAAGGTGTGTTAATCTCTAAAAATTGAGCTGTATATGGACGAAGATTAAGCGTCTTAACACCTGATAGCTTGTAGCTATCTAAGTCTGAGAATATCGACATGTATATTTAGTAACGGTATTATACTAATTAATGTAACTTGTAAAGCATGAATTCTCACTCGTTAATATTGGAATTCACTGTAGAAACCTATTTAAGCGCGTATGTTTGTAGAATAAAGAAAGTAATTGCTCAAGAAACGGCAAGACTCATATCGTGAAGAATAGTGTAATAATTAGTCAGTTGTCTGTGGAGATCAGCCGAGAAATCGAGTTCTCAAATACTTCTCTCATAGAAACTGAAAGTACTGGGAGAAATAGCCCAAGTTTTAAGTAACTACACTAGAGTTCTTTACTTTCCTTTGCCACAAGTGAGGGTTGTGACACGTAGCATAGAAATAAAGTATACGTCACGAAGATTACTTTCATGACAGTATTGTAGAAGCAATGATAGCATAAATAATGTTGTAATGTGGAGGTTATTCTACCAGCCGTTATTAATAGCTTTGAGTTATTTAAAGTTAGCAGTAACAAATAAAAGTATAGCTCTGTTAAGGCAAAGAATCTACTAATTCTAGTATCGTTGGAAGCTATATTTATTACTGAAATACATTTGTATATCGTGCCTTGCAAGCAAGTTGATATGATGCAGCAATTCTAGTTTATGATTTTTGAAGTCGTAACATGCTAAGTATTCACGCAATAATAAGCACATCAATGCAGTCAGAATTGTCCTAATCATGAAAGTTGTAATCTGTAGTTGTAGAAATTAAGTAACGAAAACTCGTAATAAACTATGTTCTATTCCGAATCTTTCGTAATTAATACTTGCGGAGAATTTTAAATTGTTGTTGTCGGATGATGAAAATTTTGTAGAGTATTACAAATTGTAAAATATCATTGAAGAATATGAAACATATACATTAACTTGATGTAATATCGTGCATGTTAATATAGTTTTTGTTTGGATTAATAACACGTCTACATGGAGCATCAAGTATGCTGGATCTTATGTCGTTAAATACTTCTTTTATCAAAGCCTTCAACGATTTCATTTTGGCCAATATCCTTTCGCAACAACACCCATCAGCTAATTCTAATCGTCCATTAACCGTGATCACTTCTATTATAAATAAATTATAGTCCAAAGTTCAGCTATTGATTCTGCAATATTACTTCCGCAATCGGCTAACTCTTATACTACACTTCATTCATTACGAACAATTTCATAATGAATAGATCATAGTACAAAGTTAAACCATAGTATTTACTCTGGGATAGTCATTCCGACTTTCATCCCATCTCATGAGCGGATTGTAAGATTGAAAACGCTTCCTTTACATTTAAAATTGTTCTTGGAAGCAAATTATTTAGATAGGGTAGTTTACCAATAGTTACTCTATTCATCAGTCTAATAAGATTGTTTTCCCAAACATAATTATATCAATAGAACGGAAGGAATGAATCGTGACATTGAAAGTAAATTTTTGCTGAGTCAGCAGTTTTGCAGCTCTAAAATAATTTTGCAAGGACTAGAATAAAACAAGCAATATTGTACACTGAAATATCAGAATAGGCAGGATCTTCAGCAATCGTTTGTGTAGTGTTTACTTCTAAACACGGTATAGTCCATTTTTAGAGAAACGGAATATCCACTAGAAGGTTATATAACTCTAAATATGCTTAACTTATTGTGATAATTAATTAATAATTTCGTCATCAATGATATAATTTTGTTGAGTAATGAATCATACGCTAACACCTAGCCATTAATTAACTAATATTAAATGTCATAGAAAGTGTGTTGTGATTCTTGGTATATTTAGCATGCAGATTTGGCTATAAATTTATTATCGTATTGCATCGACAAAGTTTGTGAGGCTATAGAAAAGCCTCAAAGTTCTTAATTGAGGGAGTTAATAAGTTAGTTGATAACGGATGGTTATCGGTGGTTAGCAGTAGATTGTAAGTTGTGAGTTCAATCGGACATTTTTAATCCATAGCTTTTAGAATAAAGTTTTGATTCTTAGCGTGAGTATTCTATCTTCTGAGACTCGAATCTAAGTTTGGTAGATTAAAGAGTACTTAGAGTTAGTTTCTTAGATAGTTAAGACTACTTTAGAGGAAAGAATCTCGTTAATTTTTATGTTGGAATCTCGATTGCGATACTTCTATTTAGCAATTTACACGGTGGAAATGTCTTAGACTCTAGCTAGATTATGCCGTAGCATTACCCTTCCATAAAAGTAACATATTATTATGAATCATCCGTATCTAGAAGTAATTTCCTCCTACTGTGTCTTAACATTACAAAAGCTATCTTCTTTCATCTATCTCATTAGTTAGTCATGGTAGTATTATTCTATTCTACTATAGTTATTCGACTAGTTATGTCGTTAGCATTACCCTTCCATAAAAGTAACATATTATTATGAATCATCCGTGCCTAGAAGTAATTTCTTCCTGCTGTGTCTTAACATTACAAAAGCTATCTTCTTTCATCTATCTCATTCGTTAGTCCTGGTAGTGTTATTCTATACTACTATAGTTATTCGACTGGTTACGTCGTTACTCATACGTGTACTTTATTGCGACTAATGCCGAACTCTCAACTTTCTGAAACATCACAGTTTGATTAAAAGATTATTCTATTCCTAGAAAATGGCCTCCAAGATACCTCACGGGGAGGAAAGTTCCTCTGAAAGGTCTTTAAATCATAGAGCTAATAACAAACCGGATTCAACATTTTCTCAACCGACTAGTCGACATCGCTTTGCTCCGACTTATGAACGAAGCAAGCAAAATAGTGAACGAGGCTCTGGTAAGCGTCCAGGGGCTACCACCAATTTCTACGATAATGCCAACCCCAGTCGGTCCGATTCTTCGAACTGGAGACAACGTAGAAATCCGCTACTTGATGGGAATACAAATTTGAAAACAAGTTCGACTTATCATGAACAGCGAGATCGTGCTCCGAGTAACGATCGATCAAGCTGGAAAAAAAGTGGCGGTCGGACTTTTCATCGGAATCCAAGTTTTAATTCCGATTTTTCTAATAATGATTCCAGACAAAATTACAACACAAAAGTTGGTCGATCTCGAGATGAAATCCAGTCTCCCAAATCATTATTTTTTTTGCGCCATTCATATGGGGATAAGCAGACGGTAGAACTTCGAACTTACAATGATTCTGGTTATGGTATGGATACCATCAGTAAATCATCAGGTGGTAGCGAACCATTTTATATTCCACATCTTTCTCCTATCTGTCCTAGTAATCAAGATGAAATAAATGATTTATCAGTAATGCTCCAGTCATCGCTAACTGAAATCAAGGGGAAGATTACTGATTCCACATTTAATCATTTAAACGCCAATATTCGATATGGTTTGGTCTATGTAGATGTTCCAAGACCGTTTGTCGATCAAATGCCAGCTCCGGATTTTAAGAAACATCTCAATCAGATTTCGCCATCAGCTCACGGCAATAATCCTTTAATGAAACGGAGAATTTGCATCTCAACTGGCTTTTCTCCTATTAATGATAATTATTTGCCTAAGTACGATCAATTAGAAAGAAATCCACCATTAATTTTGGATAACGAAGAACAAACATTTACAGTCGTTTCAGGTTATGATAAAAACAAAATATACCAGCAGGCTGACTATAATAATCGAATGGAATTGATACGTAAAGATAATAGCATGACTTATTTACAATTTGACATCCGAAATTCTCCATGTTCTCCCGATGTCCAGATTTCCATTACTGGTAATAATTGTCAAAATGGGACGGAAACTGTCGCAGGGTATAGAAAAAATACTACGATAAAAAAATCTACTCCTATTCTACAATATAATAGAGATACTGATGATATCGTTGTAGCAAAAGAATATGGCGACGTTCGTCATGTTCGTTGTAAGAAGACGAAATTTTTTAAATTATCCAAAGATGTCGAAATATGGGAAGCTCTACGACAGAATATCGTCATCGAAGCTTCAGATATCATCGAATATTCTTACTTAGATCGAAAGATCGGTCGATTTAATCGACGACTTGATAAGGCAGAGATAAATATTAGAATTAAATTAAACTCAATACTACGGCTTGAAAACTTGACGCTATTTGCGGAAAATTTGCACAAGTTAATTTTCATCACTTTGCCTAAATACTTTGTAAAGCTAAATCAATATGGCCATCAAATAGTGAAATGGAGTCGAAATTGGAACCCTAAAATGTCTAAACACGGTTATCGACAGGATGATGGGAAAATGAAATTATTAAACGGTAGGCTACCTCACGAGCAATTCAAAACATGGAAATTAGTATTACTACGTCACTCTTCTGGGCATAGTCAGAAAGTAAAATTTTATGAGCGTGAAGGTTTTGGCTGCAATTTCAAAATAAATTATAAGCCATTAAATAGTAGCAGCAGGCCTTTACCATATTCTCGGATTTTACCTACACCTGATACTTGCAATGATGAAATCGAGGAATTATCGACAATGTTCCAGCTATGGATAGGTAAAGTTGTGGCAGAATGCAGTGATCCTTCAGTATTTGACAACTTAAACGCTAGCATTCGATGTGGTCGTATGTACTTAGCAAAACTACAACCGTTCGTTACAGAAATGCCAATTACTCAATTTAAAGAACGTCTAAACAGTCGTCAAGTAAATCCTGATAATCGCATCTTAACCGGTTTTACTTCTAACTGTCATAAAGATCTACTCGACTACGCTGATTTGCAAGAGAAGCCATTATTGGTTTTGGATCATGAAGAGGAAATATTCAGAATTGCCTTCGATATCGATGACTATAGAATTTGTGCTTATGCCGATTGTAAATTCGCTAACGACGAGATAGAGTTAATATCTTATAACGAAGATAGAACATACTTAAAGTTTGATGTTAAAAATTCTGGCTATGGAAAAGATTTTCGAATTTCTTTCATTGGAAATGACTATCAGAATACACAAGATATTCCATCTAAATGGCAAGATATAGCTATAGATAAGTGTCCAATCATAACACGAGATAAAACTGCTGGCGACATCATTGTGGGAAAGGCATATACGGAGTATATTCGAAATGTTAGGCGCAACCGAACAAAATATTTCAAGTTCTCGGCACAAGTAGATTTATCAGAGGATCTAAGACAGCTAATTATTATACAGGTTACAGATACTACAAACTATTCTCAATTAGATAAAAGTACTGGCCGATTTAAGAAATCATTTACAAGTAAAGAACTGAACGTTAAGATGCCATTAAATTCAATCCTGCAAAGTGGGGATTGCCACATGTTAGCACAAAATTTACACAAGATAATGTTTACAATATTGCCAGAATATTTGGTAAAACGAACTCTACGTAGCAATCAGTATTATCGAAGTGTCTTCAAGAACAAATTTCGAAAACTTTTCGGGAATAGAGGCCCTTCTAATCGCAGACGTAACAATACAAAGATTAAGTTCCTTTTATTGCGTCATTCTTACATGGACTATCAAATAGTAGAATTTCATGAATATGATAAGGATGCCTGTTATCGAATGGATAGATATTATAGAGCTTTAGCGAATAATAGTAATCCGTTTTACGCACCACATATCACGTATAATTATAATACTGATTATGAAGAAATTAACGAGTTATCGAACAAGCTCCAGAAATGGATTAGTACAGCGGAGAGAAATTATGCTATTGCTTCAAAACTACCCAAATTTTATATGAAACTTCGCTATGGTCACGTTTACCTAACCGAACTAAAGCCATACACGTATAGAATGACAGTTGAAGAATTTAAAGAAGACCTACTTAAGATTATGCTCCCACCTCGTAGGAAGAAGAAGAATTCCTATGAATTCCATCGTACGATAAGAACGGGCTTTTACCCTGCCTACGAAAATTATGACGATGATATAGCTAAAAGTGGAGCGTTAGTTTTGGATCATGTCGGTGAAACATATAGAATTGCCTTTAACTCTGGTGATAGCAAAATTTTAGATTACGCCGATTTCAACGATCAGATGGAATTGATAGCTAATTACGAAGATAAAACGTATTTAAAACTAGATATCAAAAATTCCGGTAAAGGACGAGATGCGCGAATTTCTATTCATAATAATGAATTTGAAAATGAGAAACTTTCCTCAAAGATGTTCAAAATGGAAGCAGATGAGCCTGCCATTTTAACTAGAGATCGATATACTGATCACGTCATGGTAGGAAAGGTATATACAGACTTTGTATATAACGTTAGACACAAAAAAGCAAGACATTTCAAGTTATCGGATAATGTCCCGTTGTGGGATAAATTACGACAAGCAATTACCGTCAGAATTGCTGATGTTGTAGAATATTTCATGTTAGATCGATCTAGTGGTCGATTTCATGAAAGGCATGAAAAAGTAGAAGTCAACATCAGATTTCAATTGGATTCGATGATACGTCAAGAAAACTGTCGGTTATTAGCAGAAAATTTACACAAATTAATGTTTACAATTTTACCGAGATATTTAAGTAGTCAATAATGGTCAATAATAGGCCATGAAACACTATCCTTTAATGGATTGTCATGAATCACATATAATTTATAGTTATTATAAATTAAAGGTACGGGTATATGTATTTACATAATCCAATCATAATTTCATCTGACAGCTATTTATCCATTACTTAACAGAAAAATAAATAAGCAATTTAAGCCTTTACTATCAATCCTTGAAAGGCTAAGATAGTCAAGTTAGAACATGATACGTAAAAAGTGATGCCAACAACAAATTCCTCACTTTTATATAGAGTAAATATAGATTATAACTTGTCCCAAATATCTACAAAGTCTGATCATGCATAATACAGTTCTATACGAAATAACAAAACGTATCAGAATTAATTGCTACGAAATGTATTAGTTGATATTGTCTTAAATGATAATTTAATAGCTCAACGCTAGCTGAAACACGATGGCAAATTCATGCGGTGAACATTGTACGTAAAGTTAAATATCGTAAATTAACAGTTAACGTTCTGGTTTGTACTTAAACTCTATTCTTATGAAATAAACTTCAATTCTTATTTTTGAGCAAATCTATTTTTCGTTTATGCTGAAGTTTAATCTTGGCTGCTTTCTTGCCTATTAGTTACTACAACTGGAATTTTTGCTTCTATTTAATATCTAGTGGTAAACACTCAACATATTGCAAATAAACTCTAATACTGTTAGTATTTGACTCAATTTCCTCAGTAATTGGTTCAAAGTCATTACTTGCGGAAACTATTTTTAAACTAAGAAGGCAGCTTAACTAATTAGAATCCAAAACCGACTTTGCTTTGAAATATGTGATTAAATTATAATTGTGTACATACTATCGCTGTATTGCCTACACAAAATTACTGTAATTAGCTGAAATTACTACAGATTGTTAATGCTTCGATAGTAGTACCCAACGTAGGTGCTACGTGCTTTCTCAATAAGTAGTAAGATTTTACTTCCGCATTTGCATGATGTCATAACTGAAACTATGCAAGAGTAAGCATAATTTGCATTAATTTCCGACATAAAGCAGATTAAGCAAACACATATATTGTTTCCTTCTTATTGTTAAGTAGTAACTTTTGTATCACTGTCGTAACATAATTTCCATAAGATAACTTATCTAGGAATGTATTAGTAATAAATTATCTATGACGTTTTAATAGATATCTACATTGCTGTAGAATATTATCTACAAACATTAAATGTTTACGTCGATTTACTATCTGTTGCTTGACTTTTCAATAAAGTTTGGTTTCAATTTTGTCTAAAAGAGACTGATAGAGTTACTATTTCTCATGACGATAGGAGATTGTTATTATTTAGAGTTGTACTGCTGGTAGAAGTCGTGGAAGACAAATCTGATAATAGACTTATAGTACTAGTTTTCTGTAGTAGTTTAACTTTTTCTTGTTATAAATTTCGATTTGTAACCCATATGTTATGAAGTGACTGTAACGCAATGGTCTTTATCCTTACTAATATTCCGATAGTAGTACGGTAGAATATAGTATTTCTGTAGTAGCCTAGAGGGTAACATTTGTAGTTTTGCGATATTGGGTGTGTTGCTTTAATAAGTGGTTATAGATAGAAATTCTGTCGGACATATTAAGTAACAACTGTTTAGTTAATGCACGAAGAAAAAATATTTGTTTTATTATTAGAAAGATTTACTGCTATGTTTATACTAAAAGCGTTAATTGTGATTCTTAATGATTTCTTATATCAATTAAGTAAATAGAATTTTTCGGCCACAATCATTTTAAATCAATTTTGCATTTCGTGAATCTTTGCGTAGCTTATCATCTCCGATTGGATGCCTACGTCTAACCTATTCATGTGATTTCGTCGTCAGTTTGGATATAAATTAATGAGAGCAATTCTATATGAGTTAGAGATAAAAAGTAATATAGTGTTATGATACTTTCCTATAGGAAACACTATTCATAAACTTTACTGGTCGTGTTGAGAAATTGAACCATGAGACATCAGTAAGTTTGATTAGTTGGTATTATAATCTGTAGAAGTATAGCTGCTGACATACTAGTAACTAGGGAAATAAATTTAGTCTGCGTTATTATTACATCAATTATAACAATAACCAATTCTTTCATGGATAGAATGTATAATAGTTGAATGAATAAATTAGTGCACCCCAGCTGTGTTGAATAAATACAGACTATAATCACGGAAAATCGATCATACCAATGTCATCATTTTTTCTAACAGGCATATGTAAATCCGCGGTTAGGCTTAGGCTATAATTGCCAAAGAATTTCCATATTGGCTACTATCTACTATAAAAACTATCTTACACGCAGAAATGGCTTCCAGCTCACATCAGAATGATGGCAATGGTTACGAAAAATCTTTCGATGAATGCATTGATGGAATAAAGAATATCAAACTACCAAAATCTGCTAGTAACAGTGCCCCTCCACATAGCAATCAACGACAAACTAACAACACCAGGAGAACACCTAATTACAGCCGAAATTTTAATTCACAAGATAGTAAAAACTATCATCATAGTAGTTACCGAAATAATGATTCTTCAAGTCGAAGCCATCGTGGCGAACAAAACTTTAGTCGCAATCAAAATTTCAATTCAAATGCTTTCAATAATGGATCTAGGCAAAATCGTGGCAACAAATGCTTAAGTAACCGAAGATCACATAATGAAAAAGTAAAAGCGTGGAAATTGTTTAGATTGCGTGGTTCCTGCTCAGATGACCAAATAGTAGAATTTAGAAAGCATTTAGATGCTTGTTATGGTACTGACGGTGATGAAATAATATATTATACTCCTTATATTTCGCAATTTCAAAATGATGACAGGAAAGAAATCCGAGAATTTTCCGCTATATTCCAGCAATGGATTGATAATGTTATGACTGAGTGCATCGATCCTTCAGATATGGACCAAATGTTCATCAAAGTTTGTTACGGTTGTTTCTATATAACAAATCTAGAACCATATGTTGATCGAATGTCACATCAACAATTGAAACAGCATCTGAATTGGATGTCACCTTCAGCTAACAGTAGTAATCCTAAAAGAAAGCGAATATGTCGTATTAAAACTGCTTTCTTTCCCATCTACAATAAGTATCCATGTAAATATGACAGCCTAGATAAAAGCTCATCCTTGGTTTTAGATGAAGAATGGGAAACATTTAGAATCTCGTTTGTCACTCAAGACAGCAAAATTCGTAGTTATATAGACTATGATAGCCAAATGAATCTAATAAGTAGCAAGGAAGACATAGCTTATTTAAAACTGGATATCAAAGATCCTACTGGAGGAAATGATGTTCGAATTTCGATCGCGAAAAATAATTCTGAATGCACGGAAGCACTTCTTGCCCAAAGGCTAAATACTATAACTGATGAATCTCCACTTATAAAACTAGAAGAAACAAGTGGTGCTGTAATAGTAGAGAAAGCCTGTACTAAGAGAATAAGCAATGTTAGGCATAAGAAAATAAAGACCTTAAAGTTTGCCGCTAATGCGGAGCTATGGGATGAGTTGCGAATGGCCACAGTCATCAATGTTTCGAAAATTGCGGAATACCTGCAATTAGATCGCAAAACAGGTAAATTTAACGAAATTCATGAAAAATTAGAAGTTAATTTGGGAATCCAACTAAGCTCAATATTCAGACGTGAATACTGTCAGTTGCTAGCTCAAAATTTACATAGTATAATCTATACTATTTTACCGGCTTACCTGCGTGATAATTAACGTAATGCAAATTAAAAATAAAGGTAAAGCTTTCTAATAATTGATGACTTACTGTATGCCTTTGATTGTTATTCTGTCTTGCAATATAGTTAGTAAATAAAGTAGAGAGTGCTATCTAAATAATATTCATCAAGTTGATGCGATTTTAAATGTGTATAATTAGTTTATAATAATCAATCAATCAACTGAAGCATTACTAAATAATTATTATAGACACTTCTATTTTCCCGCTATTTCTGCACCATAGATTATTTCCTGTAAAATAAGAGTATAAGGGAATTTCAAAATTGTATAAGGAGAAAAAAACTGTTAATTATAATTATACTGCAATCAGTTCGAATTTACTATCATGCGTAAACTACCAGTTGTCAGCCACGAAAGATAGGCGTAAGTTGCTCTTTACTATTGCTCAAGAACTTTCAATGGTAGATACGGTAGAGTAGATTGTGTAGGAATCGACAATGTATTTGCTGTATGCCTTGCTATTATTTTGCAATGCTTTAAATAAACGTAAAATCATTTGCAAAGTGATGATAATATGATATAAGCAAAGCGCTTATGATGAGTGCGCACTAATTATGGAGTAAATAGTAAGCTCTTAGTAAGGCATGTGTTGGCTAATAACTCAACATTCTCGAATATCACGATCTTGATTATGAGACTGGCGAATTTAGAGAAGTTCACAAGAAGAAAGAAATCAATATAGGAATAAAATTACATCAATTACTTAGTCACAAAAACTCTTTCTTGTTTAGTAAAAATTTGTATAAACTGATATTTGATATCGTTCCAGCATATTTTACTTAACATTTTATCAGTAATGTTTCCACTTTGTACAAGTTTTGGATAGTAGTCTTGCTTAAGTAAATCTTCTTGATGAAGAGAATATGCTCAAGCGAAATTTTGTAATTAAAACAATAATTTACAAATTTTATGATCATTTACTTTGGCACTCGCATTACAAGTTTTCTAATGAATTCTATCTTTAGAATGTAGAAGGTAGCTATTTAGTTGACAATAACGTATGTAAAAATGATTATCAATTGTCTATTCGATTGAGGTTATCCTTAGAATCATGTGAATGTATGGATTATAAATAATATGAAAGTTATATCTAAGTAATTTCATAAATGTGGTTTTGCGATATGTAAGTCTGCTTGAAATGCTACGTAGCTTTATAATAAAAATTCATAGATGAAGGTATAAGTTCATGAAGAATCTTTAGCTGAAAACTTTGGATACAGTTTTTACATGTAGTACGCTGAGGCCCTTAGATATAGATACAACAAGGCAGACAATTTATCTTAGACTTTAACTTTATGGTTGAATTTCGAAGATAAAAATTCACTCTTGTCGAAGTAAAGGTGTCTTATTTCTAGTATTGAATATCAGAATCTATTTCGGCAAGGGAAAAAATTGACTTTGAAGTTAATTATACAGTATGCTGAATTTGTGAATAAATCATGTATTTGAAAATATCAAGCCATTACTTTAAAAAAAAGGATATCTGCTTTAGATGGTATAGCATTGATTGATTGCATTTGCCTCGAAAAAGTCTATGCTGGAATGTGATGAAATTAACTTCGAGGTTAACAGTTGTAAGGTTAGCGAGATTAACTAACTTAAATAGCTGTTGACGTTGATATAGGAGATCCTATATTAGTAGCGATAAATTATCTATTATGATTACTAGCTCATCCCCCCCCCCCCCCACCTTGCTCCCGGTTGTACTGTTAACACGTTAACTATTATTTAAACATTACTCTAATAATTGAATAATCTCAGTATGCTATTTCTAATCGTGACTAAATTTTACCCCGGGTTGCCGTTTGCACTAATTTAATACTGTACTGTAATAGACAAAAAAGATAACAAATTATCATGCAAATATAATGCCTAATAATTGTACAATTACATTTTTATTACATTCAATTACACAAATTTCAGAACTTCATTGAACTTCTTGATAGACGGCATTACGTGCTCAAAAACAATCGCTTGAGGAATCGTAAATTGTTTGCCTATCTCGATTTATAAACTGTTCTGCCTGACTTGTGTATATTAGTAAATCTCTTGGATTCCCGACTCTCTTTATTGCAACATATAGCTGTCCATGTGTAAATAAATCTCCGCTTAACATTACATCGCGTCGATGAAATATTTCCTCTTGACTTTTATTAATAGTCGATGTAAATGCTAGCCGAACGGGAAATTGATGCCTAATTAGTCGAACAGGCACATCAAAACCCGATGATGATAAATTCATTCTTGGAATTGGCAAAATCGAACCTGTTCTCTCATCTCCAATCAAGCTAGCCATTAATAGATGATCAGTAATAGACAGTAAAATCGTAGAAGTATGTAGAGGCGCAAGTACAGTACCATTTCTTATGCTGTTCCTTTATCTTACAATGTGAATGCACAACAGCAAGTTGAAAGAATCACTATGGAGTTTCCCATACTGTTTCTGTATCTAAGAATGCTAAGAACTACTGTAAGCTTTACTTCTATTATATAACGAAGGATAATAGTGTTATCGACTAAAATTATATGAATAATGTAGTCAGTTGTTATCTATGCCGCATTTGGAAAGATAGACGATAATTATAATATGAGAAACTTTGGTATTAGTAGAAGCTCCGACTGAATTACTTAGGAAGCTATTATACCTTATAAGATGGCAAATGATGTTTGCCCGTTGTATATGAAGTGAAGTCTTCCTGTTAATAGTTACTTTTATCCTCCGTTTAACATTAAACTTTCAATATATTGTAATTAAGCTATTGCTATCCACACTAACGTCTTCTTTGCATTTGAATTTTATTACAACTGTATTCGAATTTGTGTTGAAATCCTGAATTTGAAGATATCAGGCTATTATTTTAGAAAAAATGGAGATATGCCTTGGATGATGTAGTACTGATTGATTACATTTACCTCAAAAAGTCTACGCTTTACACTTAAATTATAACCAATAATTAGTATTTGCCTAAATAGGATAAATAGGAAAATAAAATGGGATAAATTTCTATAAATCGAGATCCCATTTTATTTGTCGTATGTATTCTTCGCTTTAATTCTTTAATTCTTTTCTTCCTCAAGGATATATGAAAACAATCAATCCGATACTGAGCTGGCTCTATTAGCGAGCTTAGGTAGGCTTCGAATGTGAATTAAGCTATTTGTAACGGAGAAAGTATTGTTAAAATCTATTTAAAATCATTTTCTTCATAGCTTAGAAGTAGTTATAGATAAAGAGCTTCATCGATGACAGATCTATTTATTTCGAGATAGCTAATGCGATATGCTATTCAATATTTGGAAAGAAATATAAGATTATTCTTTAATACGAGCAGTATATACTGCTGAATATTGTGTTTACTGTATATTTGATGAAGATAAGTTTAAACAGCTTTAATAATCTAAAAATTTGAAACAGAATAGATTATAAAAGTTCCGCTAATACCCAAGGGTAATGTTCTGTAAATGGCGATATAATCCTTTAGATACTTTTAGTATAGTACAATTTATTGGCACGTTAAATCGTTTTGAAATCATTCTGCACCTAAGATTATCTTTAGTAAAATCAGAATATATGGGAACTTTTGAAATTGTATAAGGAAACTGTTAATTATAATTATAATTATACAACAATCACTTCCAATTTACTACTATGCGTGAGCCACCAGTTGTTCGCTGCGAGCAATTGGCGTAAGCTACCCTTTGCTACTGCATAGATCTTTTAATAGCAGATACAGTAAAGTAGATTGTGTAGATCGATCTTTTATTTGCTGTATACCTCGCTACTATTTTGTAACGCTTTTAATAAACGTAAAGTCATTTGCAAAATGATTAAGATATGAAATTACTAATGCGCTTATGATGAGTGTGCTAATTAAAAAGTAAATAATAAGCTCTTAGTACGGTATGAGTCGGCTAATAACTCAATATAAAGCTGTTTAGCTATGTACTACATTTAGTGGAGCTCATAGAAATATTGAAAACTAGCTGATGTACTTCAAATAAGTATTTATTCCACGTATTGATACCATGATTATAGAATATCGCAAGTTTTACGTATTATTATGAATACTGCCGTTATCATGGGTTGGAAATTTTGTGCTAGTTTAGATGAACTAAAATCGTTACTAGTTTAACGCAGCCTGATAATGCTAGAATGAAATGTTAAAAGGAGTCATAATAAGAACTAAGCACTCTATTGTATTTTTCTTTGGAAAGCCAAAAAACATAGCATAACAATAGTCGTATTTTATAAGATAACTTATGGTAAACACTACCTTTCTTGATTATTGTACGCTAGTTAGATCTGGATGTGTTTAGAGAGGATATGTATGACTAATGTTGTTTAATTAACGATATAAAGTTTACTATGAACTGTTATTAGTTGTTTTGTTGCGATAGATGGAAACATATGTTCGATAGCACAGGCATGATTAGTTGATTTAGACAAGAAGAATACGAAATTATAATTATATAAGAGCTTACGATGATATGTTTATCAATTTGACCAAGCCTAAATTAATGTTTGTATAATGAGTAAAAATTTGTTTACAAGCAGGCTATATTCTATATCATGGGAATTTTCTTGAGAAAATAAACCCAGTTTTAAGATGGAACTCTCTGGACACTTTTACGTTTTTTGAATCCAAATAATTATATTTGTTTTAAGACAGCAATATAAAATATTCGAAATTTGCTTCAGTTGGCTTAATTATCGCAATGAAAAATTATCTTCCCTATTGTTACTATGGGTAATTCGTGAAAAGAGCGAGTGTTGCTGTGAAATTGCTATAGTGCTTTTTTTACAGTAGATTCCGATCGTAGCGGTACTTACTGTATGTATTATAAATCCATATATTATCGTAGTAAGACTAAGTAACCATTTCTTGGCTTATATAATTAGATGTATCCTAGCTATGAATTCATTGAATGATGGTATACGTAAAAGTTCACAAGTTGAGCTAATATAGCAAAATTGACATGCTATAATCAGGAGAACAGATGAGAACACAAGTGAGAATTTTTTTTCTTAATTTAGACAAAAGCGGTCTAACGATTATAATAATGTGACAATAGTAGTTAATAAGGATGTTTGCACTCTTGATACAAGATTTTATTCGACTGCAGCAACTTATTGTGTTAGCACTGGCCAGAAACAATAACAAAAAGCTTTCTAAATATCCCTTGGAACGATATGCTTCTACGTACTGGATTGTTATTGGTTCAAGAAGTCTTGATAGTTAAAACTCACGTAAAGAAAATGGCGTCTAAAGATGTTGATGATAACAATTTGAAGAAAATAGGTTTAGACTCAGTTGGAAAGAAAAGTTTAAATTGTGCAGAAAAGCAATTAAGTTGGAGGGCTAAACATGACAAAAGTTCTTCTCATCCTCATGCCTACAATTGGAATAGCTATAGAACAAATTATGTTGATAATTACCAAAGTAGACTTAATAAGCGAACTAGTGATCTTGAAGCTCTGAATGTAAAAAGCAACAACAAACATCAGCCTTTACCGAAAGACGGTGATCAAGTTAATCATTTACAAATTTGGAAGTTCTTATTAATAAGAGGTTCAATTGATGACGACCAATTGGTGCAAATTAAGGAAGACAACAATTTCATCCGTCGTTATGAGTGTGATACCCATAAGCAATTTTATACACCTTATCTAAAACACACTGTGGATACTAGCCAAGTTGACATTAACGATTTAACACTTATATTGCAGCACTGGATAAATGATGTTATGAATAAGCAGATTGATTCTGTAGCTATGGAAAACTTATTTGCAACTATCCGATACGGTTATATTTTAGTAACCGGTTTAGATTTGCGTCAAAAGAGAATGCCCATCCATAAGTTTAAAACTTTTGTTAACGGATTTTAGCCTACAACGACACCTTCAAAGAAATATAGTACCATCAAAACTTCATTCTATCCAGTCTGTTGCAAACTTAATTATAATCAAAAGGATACTCTCCATAATTTATCCTTACCATTTCTAAGTAAGAAAGAAGTTTTAGAATTACATTTAAACCTACTGATTTTAATATTCATCGTTATGCCGATTATGATACTGACATGCAACTGATGACAAATAAAGAGGATACATTGTTTGCTAAAATTGATTATAAAAATGAATCTGGATTGGGTGACGTTAGGATTAGTTTATGTGGCGGCGATACGCAGAAAATAGAAGGTAATTCAAAGTTTCAAGATTCCTTGTTGGATAAAGGTCCTTTTATTAGACGAGATAATGTGACCGGTGCTGTAATCGCGGAAAAAAGCTATGTTAGCCAGATTAGTAGCGTTAGACATAAGCGAATTAACAGCTACAGAATTGCCAGCCATGAAGAGTTATGGAGTGATTTACGAGAGGCAGCAATAATTAACGTCGTTGACATTCTCGAATATCACGATCTTGAATGCGAGACAGGAAAATTTAGAGAAGTTCACAAGAAGAAAGAAATCAATATAGGAATAAAATTACATCAGTTGCTTAGATCCGAAAACTGTATGTTGTTTAGTAAAAACTTGTATAAACTGATATTTGATATCGTTCCGGCATATTTTACTCAATAACAGGTGTATTCTATCATTATCCCATTATAATTCCACTTTGTACAATTTTTAGATAGTAGTCTTGCTTAAGTAATTCTGGATAAAGAGAATGTGTTCAAGTAAAATTTTACAATAAAGGCAATAATTTTCAAACTCTTATGATCTTTCGCTATGGTACTTGCATAGCAAGTTTTCAAATAAATCCTATGCTTTGATTTACAGCACCGTATATAAAATAATTATTAATAGTCTATTCGATTTATGCCATCCCCAGAATCAAGTGAATGTATGGATTATAAATAAGTTGAAATTGTTATATTTAAGTAACTTCATAAAATGAACTTATGCGATATGTAAGTCTACTTGTAATACTAAGTAGCTTCATAGCAAAAGTTGGTGGATGTAGGTATTAGTTCGTGAAGAATCCTTAGCTGATAGCTTTGGATGCAATTTTTTACATGTGGTACGTTGAAGGTCCTCTGGTATAGATACAGCAAGGTAGAAAGCTCATCATATACTCCAAATTTTATGGTTGAATTTCGAAGATAAAAATGCTCTCTTGTCGAGGTAAAGGTGTCTTATATCCCGTGTTGCATATCATGATCTGTGCCGACCTGTGATAAAATTAATCTCGAAGTTAACAGTAGTACAAATTTGTTTTGAAATCGTGCATTTGAAGATATCAAGCTATTATTTTAGAAAAAAAAGATATGCCTTGGATGATGTAGTATTAATTGATTGCATTTGCCTCAAAAAGTCTACGCTTTACACTTACCAAGAATTAATATTTGCCTAAATAGGATTTCTAGCGATTGGATGTTACTAGTACAAACTCACGTCGCTTTGCTGACAGTTTACGATAATGTACTTATTTGTTCATAATTAACAGATAGTATTACCATTCGACATTATTTATATCCCAGTAATAGCCAGGCACTACTATATTCATAGCTATGCTTGTAGAATATTACTTTTCAATAATGCATTGACGGATGAAATGCTATATTAAGATTAGTTAATCATCCAAAGCACATTATGATAACTAATGGACGGTGATGGACATACCAAGTTAAGATTAGCAGGTACCGTAAGATATATGCTGTGCTGTACAATGTCCTTAGTACTGTGGTCAATTCTAGACCAACCATTATAATGTGTCTAAGGATCGCTTGAGTATGCAAGCAAAGCTTGCTTTGTCGATAACAACCATTATAAGAAAATATAAAAATCAAAATGGCTGTGTAGAAAACTCTATAAAAATTCTATGTTTATTCAATTTTCATCAGAATATTACATCAAATCAAAATTGAAAGGCCCAGTGGCCACCCTTAGCGATATAACGAATACTATTTTAATAATCAGTACTCTGCAGAAATGACTACTTTAGAGCTATTCGTTTTACATGAAGAAATCTTGAGGTAAAAAGTACTGTAAGAATCTTATTCTGACTTATTGAAATGAACCGATAATCAAAGTCATCTATCAGTAGTATAAATACGACCCGCGCTGCTCGTAGGTGGGATATTATAGCAATCTAACGGTTAAATTTTCCATTTCTATAATTGAAGTTGCATAAATTTACTGAAACTTTATTAATTTTTCAATAAAATTTGGGTCAATTTTTGTCTAAGAGAGACTTGTAGTCACTGCAAAATCCTGATGATGGAGAAACCGTCAGTGATCAGGTTGGCCTTGCAAGTAGATGTCGAGAGGATAGATCTGACATTAAGCTTGTCGTTGGAAAAGTATTATAATTTATGTATTAAATTTATTTTCTTCGCTGCAATTTTGGATCTATCACAACGATAAAGGCGGAGCTCTAGTTAAAGGCTAACAACTGACGACAATCTTAACTCCGTCCAATTTCTTTATTTACTTGGGATGTAGTAGATTACAAGTATTTAAGATCATAACAAAAGCTTTTAGGGTTAGCTTAGCGTTCAGACTATTAACTCGAGTAATTTAACTCAGTATAACTAAGCTTCTATCACATAGATAGGGCCAATAGAATTCCTATAAATTCTCATTTATTAAGACAACGGATCTACAATTTCGAATCATAGACCCAAACGATATCAGCAAAAATTTATGATGGCTATTTCAACATAAAAAAGGTGGAAAATGAAATTCCTTAGCGGTGGTTAACACATAGTGCATTATCAATTAAGAAAGCGTTGTATTTCCTACTTGTATACCAACACTAAATCTAATGTGAAGAGTGAATAATAATAATGCCTGGTGCTGTAGTAAGTATATATTATGCTATCTTTTATTAGCTTAGATTATTCAAGAAGTATTTTTCTGCCTGATATCAAAAATTAAATAGTTTACATATTAGACTCAAACTTGCCCACCAAACCAAATACTTGTAGTAGATGTCGGGCTATGGACGCACCAAAATGATGGATTAATAATATAATAGTGCCCAAAACTGTCTTCTCTATAGCCGGGGAACCTGCAGTTGAGTCTTTGCATCTTACCCCACATTTTAAACGGACGTATGGTTCGGCCACAAGATTGTAACCATTATTTTGTGCAAATGCCATACTGCACTTAGAGCAACCAGATTCGTGAATGTTGACATAGTCGACCCGTTTACATGCAATGCTAATACTTCGTTCCCGTAAGAAATTAAATAGAGAGAATCGAGATCGAGGATAATCGTAATAATCTACCGTCATATTCATTTTATCCAAATTATAAATCATTCTCCAATGGATTATTTCCTGCTGTTGACTCAATAGTCGCATATGATAATAAGACATTCGATAGCTTATCCAATTGGGATTACATTCATCAACTAGACAGTTGATATTATATCCAAGGGTATAAAATGATTTGAAATAGCGATTTCGAAATTGCCAAAAAGTCACTGAAGTATAAGCGTAGCCAGGCTCTGATGTAAAATCACAATATATCCGATGGGGAGTATTTGACCGGTCATAAATAATGTAAATACCATTTTCACGGTTACGTTTACCTTAAACTTGTACTTTGTTACAGCTTCTTGGTCTACGGGCCAACTGTCAAAATGAAGCCAGCGATTTGTATTAGTAAATGTCGATAAGACATAGTCAGCATTTCAGTTTGTAATAGTATCGAATTTCTATAAGTTATCACATCGGCAATATCTCAAAATGTTTTAAATATCATCGGTAGATTGACATACAGCAGGCGATTAAAATTTTATTTAGATCTAAAATGGTCGTTTAGAATTCTATACAGTAGATTACTTTGAAATTGCAATCTTTAATCGATTTAATATGGCCTAACAAGAAGCCATTATTCGAAAGCCTGTATGCTTGTCTGATGCTTACGAGCAATATTCAAGATTGAGTATTTGTAGTTTAAAGATTATCCTACAAATTTTAACATAATATAACATTGTATGATAACCATCACTTCACTTAATCTTTAATTTACTAAATTGAAGGTAGCATAACTAATTAGAGTAAATTTCGCAAAAGCTTATTGCTGACAAATCACATGATATGGCTACGACAGATCATGCTGTCTATTTTCAGGAAAAATATCTGCTTTGATGTTACAAGATTAATTAAGATCATGCCAAAAATAGTCTTTCGCATTTTATATCATTAAAATTAAAAAAAAATTCCTCAGTAAACCTATATCTGCGCCTAAAATGCCATAATTCTTTATCCTTTAAAATCTAAAATTATTCATGATTGCAGTACATTATAGAACTTTTAAACTCTTACTTTGCTAATTCTTTAATTTGCTATAATTTATTTACCAATTTTTTCGTCAAGTAAGCATAATTAAAATTACGTAATTTTTGTATTTCCTAGAAGTCACGTGGCACATACTTATAGTTCTTCTGCTTAGCGAAATAGATTCGGTAATGCTGTGAATGCGACACATTATGAACCGACAAAATGTTTTTAATCCACAGGTAAATTATACGCATGAACTCAAATTGGCCTGCCCAATAGATTAACAACTGCAGTTTGTTATCTTCACAAATTGGTATATTGCTAAAATATTTTTTCTGATAGGGATATTGATTTTGCTAACAAAATTCACAAGTGTCAAGCTATTATTTATTATTTTAATCTCATTTGAAATAGTAATCGAACGAGGTAATGCTGTAAACACCTTTACTACTTCGAGTTCCTAAATAAAAATAATTTCGTAATCGGTGTTACCTTGTACTAAGAAATAGAATTGTTACAGTTGATAAAGAGGTCAGTTATGGATATTCCGCTTATCGATAAATTGATGAATATAGCACCTAAGTGTCATAGTATACAAATTGTTGTTGCTGGAAGTAACTTTAATCATTCGAATTGTACATGGTTCATGCGGCTGTACCATAGAGCAATGCCGGTTGACATAAGGATGCCAAGATAACCTGAAAACTATAATTTATTACTTTGTAGAAATTTTTCTGCAAAATTCTGTAGAATATTAAATATTTCACCACCAACTAAAATAAAAATGTCAGCTTAATACTAGTATAGTAACGATTTTAATTTCGTACAAGATAATGTGGCGCGCTTAGTTAAGTAGGTTACTATCTTGAATTCACTTATACCTTTTTTGCATATAATCTCAGTATATTAAGAAATACTGTTATGCAATCAGCTAGTTTTCTGCCACATTCATTTTCTTAAAGTACATAGTGGTAGCTTTTATCAAATATGTGTAAAAACACATAATTTTCTAAAGTATTATTGTCACTGTCAAGCTCAATCTATATAGTGTTTCTTTACTAAAATAATTAATAAATGTAACAATGGCCTATTAATATGAGTAAGATAGAAATCTAACAAGTGGAATATTACGCAATTTTAGGTCTGCTTTATTGAAAATTATGCTAGATAGAGATTTAGAAATAGGAGAAAAAAATGAATTATCGTTAAGATCACGTGAAACAAATTTACATCATTTGTTAGTCAATAATTTTGTTCTGATGCTTTTATTTAATATGTAAGGTAATGATATTAGTATATGTTGATATTCTATGTGAAATAGTAATTTCCGGATACTTTAATCTCATT